TAAAAGTAGGGATATAGAGAGACTGCTCCTGCAGATCTCATGATTAAAGTCTAGATGTTCGTCAGAGAGAACTGAAATGTACCTTTGCCTTACAATGAATTTTATAAGTGTCTGTTGAGAGAGGAGTCATGTTGTGGAGTGAGAAGGTTCTACTGTGTTAAATGTTCATCAACAACAGAGTATTCATCCTTTGTTGAACCACTTTCTGTATTTCTTAAAAAAAAAAAGCCATGGAACATTGGATGAGAGTTTTTAGAGGATTATCTACGCTCAGCGTGGTTTATTTAAGACTGAGAATGCTGATCTTGTATAATTCCAGGTAAAATAATAGATGTTCAGAGGCCTGGATTATTGCTACACTTCACAGAAGATATGCAAAAAATGTTATCCAGGTGTTTAGTTAGGCAAGGAAGTAACTGAAACCAGACTTACTATAAGTATACAAAAGTGGATTTTAAATAGATACGGCAGCTGCCTTTGAATTTTTTTTACAATCTGACATGTCACTGTTTCTAGGAGCAGAATGGCAACAATTTTGAAATGCTAGAATTTTCTTCTTTTTTTATTGTTGTGTCATGAAAATAAGGTTTATAATGTCATCTGATGCTCCATTGCAAACTGTCGGAAGTCAACTAAAGCTACTGAGTAAAATGTACCTCCTTTGTAATAGAGTAGGAAAAACTTCCCGTGAGAAGCAGTCTAATAATGACAGCTGAATTGCAGCTTGTGCCAGTGCTAATTACAGCAAGCGGTCCTCTGACTTAGACAAATTAATCTGAATATTGAAGTTGCTATGAAACTACATGTTGCAGTAGCAAAACATATTTACTGAGACTAAGGCAGGAAGGGATGGCAAAGAAACTGAGATCTGACTTGTTTTCCACTAAGGCATAATAAAAAAATCATTTAACTGGGTCTCCAGATGACTATAAAAAACAGTTAAAGCTACCTACAAAACTATTGTACTTGCCAGCAGCAATAATAATTTCTCCCTGAATGTGGGAAATAGACCTTGATGATGTGGTCTACTAGTGCCATCTATTGTGTACAGGGAAAAATACAGATATCAAATGTAAAGTTGCCCATTTTCTCCTTCAAATGTGAGAAATCCTCTTTCTGCATTATAGTGCCGATTATAAAACATAGCCAAAGCTTATAAAATCACCTCTGTTTTTTAATTAAATGCAGCAATTATTATAATTTATGGGTATTACGGCCACCTGCAGGACTCTACTCACTGTCAGTCTTCATCATGCCAATACTGCTTGTGTATGTATGTATGGACCATATGGGCACATGCACACAAGTGCAGTCAAGGCCAGGCCCAGCTATGATAATTTTAGTCAAAGCTACAGAAATCTTATAAATTAAAACCTATTGCAAGTTCATTACCTTATGTCAAGTTTCCCCAAATAAAGGGACATTAGCTCATCTTTGAAGGAAATCTTAATATCCAAGCACTGTGCTGCTTTTCACCATTTCTGCAGGGGGAACAGCGCCTCCAGCTCTTCTCTCAAGAGACAATATTTGAGGTGGATATTGTAAATCAGCAGGATCAGGTCACCAGCCTCAAACACTCTGAAGTCTCCAAGTGGACCCTCTAAAACCCAAAGGTTTGTGTTGATATTGAAACTAAGACTCTGTATGTTCAGAGCAGTTTAAAATACCAAGCTCTTGATACTCTTCATACTGAAATGTCCAAAACTGACTCTTATCATAATCCCTCTAGCTTTAAACTTTTTATCATAATCTCTCTGGCTTGAAACTTTTGCAACCAGTTTTGCCGCCAAATAATAAACCCCTTGCTATCAAGACCACTTTACTGCTGTCAAACTTACAGAGATATCTGCTGTTAGAGATAAGGCACTAGGCAAACAGAGCATATCAGAAAAGAAATATTAGAACACCTTACGAGACTAAACAAAGGTAAGGTGCAACATACAGCGAACACTGGCTGAGCACACATGGCAAAGAAGAGCAGTGTGAGTAACAGCACCCTAAGACAAAGTGGGCTTTAGGTATTTTGAGTTGACTGAGTTTCATCCTTACATGACTTGGAACTGTGGTAGTGATCACAATGGTAGTATTTCATCAGTCCATCAGGCTGCACAACCTAGAAAAATGACGCTTAGCGCTTTTGGAAGGGGTAGAGAAATGATTTAGCATGATCACTAAAAATAACACTAACCATCACATGATTTACTGTAGTTAGGCAAAAGAAGTTTCTCAATCACTCATGATGGGCTGACAAACAGCACATCACGCAGAGTAGATGGTGAAAATATTTCTGGAATAGCTCCCAAGAAGAAAGAGCCATTCCTTGTCACTGAGAAATGCAAAAACATAGAAGGGCCTGTTGCAAAGCAAGAGAAGTGTACTGTGGCATTATCCGTACTAGCCTATAGAGATCACTTAGTTGTAAAAATTTAATTAGTATTATTTAAAGAGTCATCCACAGCTAAAACAATACACCTTGCTAGAATATGTTCTTTTTTTTCTTTCTTTCAATTGCTTACAACTTGTCAACTCATGTACAACGGAAAAAATAATTGGGATCTTGACTGAAAAGCTGTCTGGAGCCAGAGAATAATCAAAATGTTTTCAATAGTTGGTCACTGCACAAATGAAAAGGTAACAATTCTTCATCTCCATCTGCATGTTGATGCATGTTCATGTTTTTGGCCTAACAAATTAAATAAAAGGCAACCTATGAGTGGCATTCTTTTGGTCATGAATGTAACTCATAAAAACGTATCATGGATTTCATTCAGTAGTTTTTCAGTACTTGAATTCACATGCTGATGGCAGCAAACAAAATTATTTGATTCAGCCATTTTGTCTGAAAAAAAAATTGGTTTTGTTTTTGCCCTTTAGGAGACTATACGCGCTGTAAAGGTTGGCAGGCTGGGTATGGTTCTTTTGAGGAGGACCGAGTACTAAGAGATTAACTAAGTGCAAACATCTTTCAGAAGGCCTGTATTGGGATAATGATATAATGTTTTCTTAGTGTTCTCTCACCTTGAAACTTGCAAAAATTATTGTGGTGAATTCCTGCCTAAATCAGAACAATACAATTAATTATTTTCCTGTTTAAGTGCATTTGGACTCAATGTAAAAACACACTAATATTAGTTAAGGCTCAACTTCAAGTTAAAATAATTTTTTATCCACTTAAAGGGTTTAGTGAATTGATGAGCCGAAATCTGATATCATTTGAAATAACAACTTCAAGCTCCTTAGACTTTAGTTTAAGGAAGCTACAAACAAAAAGCAATAAAAGAAAAATACACAATGCAGTAAGAAATATGGTCTTTCTTAACAAAATAGTAGGATGTCACTTTTTGTGGTCATTTTCTTGTATTTCTATCTTCACCTGAAGGAATGCGCGCTCCTTGCAGGTTATCTCATCAGCAAGACCTAAGTCTGGCATTAAGTCAGTACTAGATTTGATTTTTAACATGACTGTAACTACAAACCTCTGCAAGATAACCTGAATACTGTGGAAAGCAAATCTGACAGTGAAATTTTTTTCCTGTTTTTCTTTGGAAGAACCTATAAAGAAAACGTGGACTTTTTAAATTGTGAAACAGCTGAATTTAATACAGTTTAAAATACACATTAAAGGAAAATATCAACAGATGACTAGTCTTAAGCCATCACTCTCAAACACACATTTGCTTTGTCTCATGGAAAATTAGCAATCGGAAATCGTCAGTCTTTCTGTGTAAACCGATAGAATGCAGCAAACGTAATTTGCAGAGGACTTGATCGATAGCTAAGTGCACTAAATGGAGGTAGTGACTCAGTCCATGAAAGACCCTTTTGCCTCCAGACACTTGGAACATCTGACCTCTCAATTAGTTCTAAATCTTTCATTACAGAAGTAAGTTTGTAGCAGCAAATATGCCATATCTTCACTATAGAAGCTCTCCAGGATTATTTTTTCTTCATTGTATGTATATATATAGATATAGGTATTACATCTATATGTATGTATGTATAAAATACTCATATACATGTAACTGAACACCTGTAACTGAACTATTGGTGCCTCTTCTTGTTTTCCGTTCACTCCCTATAGATATAGGTATTACATCTATATGTATGTATGTATAAAATACTCATATACATGTAACTGAACACCTGAGAACTATTGGTGCCTCTTCTTGTTTTCCATTCACTCCCAATGACTTTTTGAAGGCCCTCTTCATTCCATCATTGTAGGTTAAAACACAGGCTGGAAACCTTCTGCTTCATATTAACCAAACGGCAGTAAGATTTCTCTTGAGTAGGTCCTACATAAATGTAAATTTACTTCCTATTCTCACTTCCCAACACTGCATAAAGGGGGAAGAAGGAGTCGAATTTGAGAGACAGATCGCAGTGATGATCAGAAAACATTTTTCAAGCAATATAAACTTCTCCTAGGATTTGTATTTGCATACAGCATGCAGTATCAGAAACACACAGCATTGTGTTGCTATGTACTAAATGAAAATTTATAGTCTTGAAACAAAGATGTTCACTTCTGCTCACACCTTCCTCCACAATTCTTGCAACTTGACAGAGAAGGTATCCAGCCTTAGTATTTGCTGTTGACTTTAGCCTTTCCTAACTAGTTGCAAAATGTATTTAATCAAGTTTAAAACTGATGTTACTAATCAGACTGTAACAAATGAAAAGGTATGGATACGTAAAAAAGGGAAGAGCTGAGGAGATCAAGTCTTCAAATGACTTTCAAGTGCTTCTACAGAGTGCTTCTATTACATTATTTTTAATATATCAAACAGTATAAAAATTACAAAAAATATTGCAAAAAGGTAGCAGGAACATTGCTGCGAGTTTTTAGTATGTCTTAGGGGATGCTGTTACAGATGTTGCAGAGTTAATGGCGTGGGTTCTTTATCCAAATTTATAAATCTCCACCCCTCTGCAACATATTCTACAAGTAAAGAGAGACTGAGAATACTCATATATATAAAATACACCTTTTTCCACTATCAGGAGTCTTCATGTATTTCTGTTGATATCCTTAAAGAAACTCTCTAAAAGAAAAATAAAACAAGATCAGTGTAAGATAAATTAATTTTACAGTTCTGTAATATAAAGTATAAGTAGACAATGCAAAATATATTTAAGGGAAATACATACTATGAGAAACTTTTTTTAAAAGGAGAAGGCTTAGAGAGTCTGATGGTTGTTTTTTTTTCCTGAATTAATAGTCTGGTTTTCTGTGATTACTGGTTAGGACAAAATGAGAATATAATCTAAAAAATCTGTCATTGTCAAGCTCTGACATTGGATTTCATGTTATTTTATAGCCTATAATTAAAAATAGCTGCATTTCTATTTAGTTTAATTCCATCACTTTTTCTTATTTATTATATTCACGATGCTGAACACTTTGGCATCTGTGTCTGAAGTAGACTACCAACTAATTCAGCTATTCTGAGGACTACAGCATTGTCTGAAAATATGTATCTCCAAAGGAAGAGTTTGACTTCTGATAAAGAGATACCATCATACTTGTAAACAGAAGAGAGTGATGGACTGGCAATAAACACCTCCTCCCCAAAATGGTAGATTTATTGATGCACTCACTCCTTAATGGTATTTCAGTATATTTGTTGCTTTTAGAAGCCAATCACATACCTTTAAGATAATGCATTCTTTAATTTTGAACAATAACAATTTTTTTAAAACAGTTTCATTCTACAGAGACTAGCATTTTTTTACTATTATTATTTTTTTTCTTAGTAAGGGAAAGCCCTACAGCCGTGGTCTATTCGGGACTATCATCAAAAGTAAACAGGTGTAGAAATGTTTGTTATGGCTTAGCAAAATATATATTAACTTTGAACACTTAGTTGAAAATTTATTTCTGTATATGCTTATGAAAGTTATGTACATATATATATTAACCCTTTCCATGCTGAGCAAATACATACATTAAGAAGCAAGTAAGTTAATTAAAAAGTTTCACATGATCTGATGTCAAACTTCGGGGTTTATGCCAGGGGACTTAGAGGGTTCTCACTATTTTTTCCTCCCTTCCCACCTCCATGAATTCTAGATATGGTTTCCAGCAACTAATCACAGCACCAACTGGTTCACATATGTGATCTTGATTATTAGTTTTATACTTACGCAAGTGCTTGGGTCTAGTTTTTCACTTTCTGGGCCGTGTGTGAGGCAATGGTATATACAAAAGACCTATGTACGGGGTATGATGTCTACAGTGACTACAAGTGAGTTAGTTCATCTTTGTAATAATGATAGAAAGCAGTAGTTCTCATCTCTTCTGCCTCAAGCTCTCTACCGCAATCTTGCAAAGATCCAGCTAATTTAAGGGGAAAACAAACATTCAGCAGTCTGAGAAGGATAAGGAAGCCATGATCCTCTTTAACACTTAAACTAATTTATGAATCTGATTTTGATGTTTTAAAACCCAGGGGGAAGATATTCATTAGGTAGACAGAAATCAGTTCTGTGAGTGATAAAATCTGTCTCTGTATAGCTTTCCTGTATCTAGCTGAGAAAAAAAATGGTAATTTTCTATTGCATTTGTTGTTATACAATTCATAGCACTTCTCAGTCACTGCTAAAATGTGTAAATACCAACCTGAAAATCTCTAATGAATGTTAAAAAGAAGAAGATAAAACCAAATGCCACCGTCCATTCACAGATTGCACTCAGAAAATGGTAAGTATAATCCTAATAGAATGAGACATAAAATAAATTTACAGATAAAACAGCTACGAAAATTGACATTTTGTTCTAGAAATCCAACAAATGTTCTAAGACTCATGACTCACCATCCCAATACTCTGTTGGGTAAAGTATATTTATTAAGGTTGCATACATTCCATATCTTGTGCAGTAACACAAAAAACAGCACAAGAAAGCTGCAATTAGCACAAAACCCAAAATGTAACTTGAATATAATTTGCCCCTGAAAAAAATTAGTTATTATATGAAGGATACCAAAGTGCCCACATTCAAAACTTATACTCATGATGTTTTAACATGAAAGGCTACCCTTGGATCGCAGTTCCTGACAAGATCTTTGTTTTTACGTAGACCACCAGAGAAAACCCCTGTAATGTGACAAAGACAGAACATAAAGTGTTTCTTATCGTGCCAGCAACAAATATGCCATCTGTATCAGTACAAACATTTTCCTGCTCTTGTATCTCAAGTGAAAAAACAAACTCTCATGAGGCAGATATTACTAAAATTACCTAAGTTTTAAAGATTTATCACACAGCTGCCTTGCTGCTGTTTGGTTGAAGTACATTTGCCAAGTTTGCTTTTATCAAGCTCTTCAAAGAGGCTCCACTCTCTGCCTTATTGAATACCTCCATGTGGCAAAGTTAGTCCAAAAAGAAAACTTACCTTTCACAGTTATCATTCTGAGAATGCTGAAATCAATTCAAACACCTGATATTGATGTTAGTAGGCTTCAGGTCAGACCCCCAATGTATATCACAATAGTAAAGACTATTTAATAAAGAATGGTGAAAAAGCTGAGAAAAGCAATGTTGTAAAAGAAGTGAAAAACTTCAGAATCAAATTAGTACACTTTTGTTTCATGTGTGAAGTTAATTTTCAAGAAATGGAACTATAAAAGGAAGTAGAACAACTCACTTCCAGAAAATGTATTTTTTTTTTTTTTTTTACAATTTGGTCTATGGTTAAGTTTCAAATGCTTGGTTAGAATGAAAGTCTAACTCTCTAAAGATTGGCCCACCCATGATAAGTTTTCTTACCCAAGCCACAGACAGTTTTCTAATGAAGAAATAATTGGAAACCAGCATTGCACAAACCAGTGAGTTTTCACAAATCTGTTCATGATAATGTACTATTTAAAGTCTCTGAAGTGTTTGTAATGCTATACACTTTCAGATAAACATAACAGCTTAGCCCCAGTAATATGACACAGGTTAAGTTTGCTACTTAATGAGATTTTACCTTTTCACCTGGAGTCCAATCAATTTTTGTCATGGAAATTTTTGAAGCAAACACAATCACTGGAAAAAGCATAGTGTAAAGGAAACTACAAAAGTTTAGTGAGTAATAGTGAAAATATATGCTTACAGAAAGACACTATCTCCCCTTTCTGTAACACAGGAGATCCTGAACAACTAGAATATCAAATCAAAGTATTAAGAAGACAGGGGAATGAAACACATTATTGAAAGGTAACTGATAGCAGCAATCAAAACAGCTTTCTGCATAAAGGAAGCTTTCTGTGGGTTCTTCCAAATTACAGAGAGTAAGGTGAGACATTCCAAACCTTAGATCACATTGATGACTGAGAACTGTGGGAACAGATCCCTGCATCGTCGGAAGAGGAACCATGACAGTTTCCATTGATCCAGAACAGATACCTTGACATATTTGTACCACTCTCTCAGGACTGGAGCTGCTCTTTAAAAGCCCTCTCAGAGCTCCTGGAATCAAAAGCAGGCTGTAGCTTAGGCTGGAAAGAAATCTTGTGTATGCCAACTGTATTTTGTATTTATGTGGGCCTTTCTCCATACCCTCATTCAAATGAAGGAGGAAAGCTGGTCTAGTTTTGTTATCATATGATCCTATGAAGACCAAGAGGGCAATAGTTTTAAATACACCATTGAAAAAAGAGACATAGCTTTTCATAAGATCCTAAAACTCATCTTCATGCTATTAATGGTGTCTCAACATGTTATATGCATTATTATAGCAGAAATACTAAGGATCCTAGGCAAAGACTGTAACCTCATTTTCATCCTTCATCAGCAACGGCTTAACTTAAAAGGAAAATCACACATGACTAAAGGTAAAATTATGGGATACGCCATAAAGGATACTGGGAATGAAAGCAATGCATGATATTACAGATATGGCCATCCTTATGCGACACACAAAATAAGTGTTCCATTGTGGACAGGACTTGTAAGAGATTATAGACTGAAGTGTAATGTATACAACACCCGAGCCAAATGCCACCAAAGCTCCTATGTCATGGACACTGGGAACAGCCAGCTCCTGGAAAGAGAATCAGCACAAGGGTTAGCTGCTACTGTTTGCACAGTGGTAGGAATCAATGAGCCCTGAGAAGACAGTAGCCACATTACACTGGGCACGTATAAGCAGTGGGAAACAGTCCCTTCTTGCAACAGTCTACACAGGGAAGATGAAAGAAAATGGAGAAAGAGTAGCTCTCAGAGGTAAAAAACATCAGGTCAAAGTCCTTTCCCAGGTTCACATAAAAGCGTAGATCAATTTTAGTGCTGTTCAACAGCTGTTCTGTTACCAATTAACGTTTCCACAAACAGGATCTGTTTGTGTGCTTCTTAAGATGTTCCCATACCTCCTTTTTCCCTTTACCCTGTGAAAGATTTTCATCCTTTTCCATTGAAACTCTAATCTGCATTTGTGTGGCTATACTCTAACAGTAAAGCTTCATGGGATCTGTTCTAAATAGTGACCGCTATAGCTCTGTCTCCCATCCTCCAGTGGCCAGCCACAGGGCTCCAGGAAATAAGTCAGCAGAAAATTAGTTTGTTGTTGGGTTTTGGGGTTTTTTTTTAAAAAGTGCTGTCTATAATAAGCTCTTGATATGAAGGCTTTCCACTGTCAGTCTCTTGAATTATTCAGCCTTCTTACTCTTCCCCACACCGTGAGCTACTTTTATTCAAGTTCTGCAGCAGGTGAAAGTGCATACAAAATTTTAGTACCTCTATATACAGTCTATATTTTAGTAAGACCCTAGCTATGGAAGATTCTCTCCTTTAAAATGCAAACAAGCAGAATATCCAGTAAAAAAACCAGATGAAGATTCCAGAGAATTGTATTCTGACTGCTTAAAAAAATGACAAATACAAAGTTATGCCACCTTGGAATCCAACATCAAACAGGTAAGTTTGCTTTAAAGCTCCCTTCTGTCACTAGAGCACAGCTAAACATGTGCTATGATCTGACCTACTACAGTTCTATTTTAGTGATTCATGAAAAGATATCTATATCCTTTCATTACATATTTTAACAACTTCCCTGCTTGGAGGTCACAGTTTTCTTTGTCTTGTAACGGACATTATTTTCACATGTTCTTTTAAGTTCTTTTTTTCCCTTGCTTTTCTTTCTACTCATTCTCTTCTACCTCTCTGTGAAGTATTAAGTTCTGTCAGATTTTAAAGCATGTTCCTCACACAGGTATTTAAGCAGCACCTCATCTACACTTTCTTTTTTTCTCCTCTGTCCCACTTAGAATCATAGAATCAGGATGTGTTGGGCTGGAAGGGACCTTTCAATGTCATTTAGTCCAACTCCCCTGCAGTGAGTGGGGACATCTTTAACTAGATCAGGTTGCTTAGAGCCCCATCAAGTCTGAACTTGAATACCTCTTGATGTCTTAGTTTTTCTACTGGGGATAAGAGCATAGTGTTCACTAGTTGTACACTACACAGTTAAAAGACTGAAGGCTTGCAAGCCACCATTTCCATCTTCCTGGGCAATCAACCATGTTCAAAAACCTGCCAGATCAGATCCTTAGCTAGATTAGGTCCTTGCTGTGTTTTGAACCCTTCCTGCAAATTGCACTTAACATGGAAAGTAAGGTCAAAGCAGAGGAAAGAGAAATTGAGGCAGTTTATGAGCAGGCAATGAAAGACAATAGAGATGAAATAAGAATCAACGTTATAACTAACAAGGGCCCCCTCTGTAAACTTCAGGATCAAAGTTTCTGCTTCCCTAACTCTCTCAAATTATCTGCATTCCTGATTAGTCTTTTCCTTATTGAAGCTTAGTTTTTGTATTTCAGTCAAGCAAGACTGTTCCCCATCATCTGACTTTTTTGGTGCCACATATATAAATCTAATTAATAAGAGCACAGATATTTAAAAGTAGAATAGCATGATTAGAACAGATTGGAGTGCCTGTAGCATTTGCAATCCACACGCACTGCCTGGAGGTAAAAATAATAAGTAAGAGTAATACATCAGTTTAAGGCGGAGATTTTTGTCTGAAAATACTATGCCAATTACACACAAAATTGTATTGACTGCTGACAATCTTTATTTTTGATTTTTCTGTATGTTGTCAGGTCACTGTATGAGCATAACACTCTTCACCAAAATGTTCTCCAAGGTAGACCATCCTTTAAAAGAAATAATTCATCTGTTTCCAAAGATTTAAAGGTAATATTTCAAACTACCTGCCAGTTAAACTTGACTTGATTCTCAGCTGCAGTGTTTTCAGTGCAATTGTCTTAATAGTTCTTTGTGCAAGTATCTACCCTATTACACACTTCCTCATTAGAAAAAAATGGAAAGAATAATGTGTTCCAGTATTTTTCCTCTCTATTGAATTTTGTATCAGACACTGAGGGCTGGACTTCTTTCATTTATAATGAGATGTCTTATCCTTTCTGGCAAAGTAAGTGGTAATTCTACAGGTCTCTATCAAAAGGCTTAATATGTTGCTATGCCATATCCTAGAAAATCATAGTAAAAGTTTTACAGAAAAACATCTATATTAAATTGCTTTCTAGTATAAACATGTTAAAAGACAAGAACACACAAACCCCCCAGTGATACAACTATACAAGCAAAAGATCTAGCACAGGGGAGAAAGCAAATCAGTCTTTTTAAAGCTACTGAGAAAAAGGCAGGAGCAAGAAAGACATTCTTGCTCTGTTTGCCAAGTATCCACACTAGGATACCATTAACCACTCATCTATTTGATTTTTCAACTGGTAAAACAACTTGGTCATACCTGAAAAGTGGCAACGATGCCCATTCCAGTACAGCCCGTCAATCCAATACATAATGAAAACATGTTGCATGAAGACCTGACAAAGTGTGATGACTCATTTTGCTTCTCTATTAATAAATATCTGATGTACATTGTAATTACACCTGAAAAAAAAAATGTATTTTGTATCATGTATTGCTTACATTTTAACACCTTGCCTTGTAACACATTAGCATACAGACTAAAATCTTAAGCATAATGCAATAAATAATACCGCCTTTAACTCTACCGCAAGGAAGAAAGGTGGTGAATTTCAGATGTATTACTTTTGGGTAGAACTGTCCCAACATTACCTTAGTCTTAACATCACACATTATATGAAGGCCTTCATATAAAGTAAATATCACATATGTTACTTTTTCTAAGAGCCTCATTCAGCCACACCATGTTTCATGTAACCTCACGGTGCCTGGACAAAGCTACCTGATTTGTTCTGCCAGCTGTAGATAGACAAAAACTATGTTCTTTGTTATTGAACTGCTTATTATACAGTTTATTATATATATCCTGATGAATCATAATGTTCTAACTCAGTACAGGTGTTTGCAGGAGTGAATTGCATATTGGAGTCACATAGGCTGGAATAAAATATGTGTGTAGCAGTTTGGGGATGCTGTTCTTCCCTTCGCTGCAGCATCCTAGAACCTAATGTCTCCATATATCAAAGATACAGTTCTTGCAAATTATGACATGTTTCTCCGCCTTTTTTATTTGCACTGATGAGGTTCTCTTAAGTGACAGAAGGGCCTCTAAACCTGCATTTAGTGATCCTAAGGACCTGGCCCTCTAAGTATTACTTCCATGTTTCTGACACTACCATTTGACCGTAGAGTACTTTTTCCTCAGAATGTTGTATGGAGTGTAATGTAAGCAGACAGTTTTTGCTAGTTTTCATTTCTATGCTATGTTCAAACCAAATACCTTATACATACCTAAAAGTGCTGAAATATTAATCATAAAACCAAAGATACCACTCTCTGGAGGCTTAGTTCCAGTGTCACTAAAGCAGGAAAAGAAAGAAATTAAAAGTTAATTGAGATCCATGAAACATAAACGAGATGTACGCATGAAAACCCAAGGGAAATGTAAAGTGTGTGAACTGGTGCTACGTGTGCAAGACATTTAATCATATAAATTGCAAAGTCGTCTGCTGTACACTTAAGCTCCATTTGTACTACTGAATCTTTCTTTTTAGAAAGAAATTGTATTCTCAGAGAATACTATCTGAATTGTATTTCTTCCTTTTCTGTATGCAATATGCAGAAATGTGACAGTGATAAATTGCTCATGAATGATATGATTACGTAAATGACATCTTAGAAATTACATTTCTTTTATCTGCTAAATTAATACTGTCAGAGACTAAAACATATCTAATGGCATTCAGTATCCTGAGATGTGAGAGAATTGGACTTAATTACCTGATTTGTTTGAAAGGACTTTACCTCAGGAGAGCAACTGCATTCCAATGCCTGGGAACGTTCCTAGGCTCTGTTTAATTTACTAATGTAGACATAGCTTAAGAGCACTTTAGGCCCAAGGTGCCGTAAATCTCCTCTGCTGGAGAGGAGATATCCCTTATGGCAGATCATTAGAATTTCACTGGGACAGTCAGAGCACGAGTGTGAAAACATCTACAGAATTTACACACATATATTTGAAAAATATAATATACGCAAAATAAATGTTATGTAGAAAATGGAGTTATCTTCACCACAGAACCCTCCTCTCTCTTTTCCCTACAGACACTCGCCCCAGAGTGTCCTCTCCTCACAGGAAGGACAAACTCCTGGGAGTATATGGATTCAGGTTCCCTCAAGCAGATTTCTTTCTTTTTACAAGATGAATGCTCTGTGGAAAGAGTGCTGAGATGCCATCACATCTTTATGTTATCTTTTCTTGTCTAACATAAAACCAGTTGATACTTATTTGATTAGGCTCTGTTGGTGAAGCCGATGGAAAACACATACCTCATAAATCTTTACATAATTTGGATGTGAGCTGAGTTTTCAGTTACTCAGCAGTACCAAGAGGCACAGTTGTGTATGTCAACAGAGGCACCCAAGGAATTCTATGATCAGAAATGTATAAAAACGGATTTTAGCTCATGTCAAATTTTAGCTCATGTCAAAGTTCAGTTCAAATTGAGCAAAGATTCTGAGAACAAAACCTTCTCTTAGTTGTACAATGGGGCAAGTAGGTACTAGCTAGAGATTTTTTTATGTGATTCAAGAAGATGAATACACTCTTCATTCCAACAGTGAGGCCAGATGAGTTTTCATTGTTAAACTTTTGAACCTACCGCTGAATGCAGCCAAAATGATAGGTGCTCAGCATGAAAGCCTGTGCTCTTAACACTCAAAAGAGAAAGCACTTTCTACAGAAGCAATCATTCTTAAAGATTTTGATAGTTTTTGTTAAGTTCAAGACAGAAAAGTGTGACCATATCAAAAGATTTAATTTTTTAAAAATCAATATTTGCTCTCAAACCCCTTCTATGTTCCATAAGCATTTGTGTAATCAGTTGCTAAGATGATTTATCAAGAGCACAAGCAAGTCTAGGGTGAAAGGAGAATCCTTTTCTATGAAAAGCTGGTGCAAATAATAGAGAAAAATCATGTACTCTCTTTTGTCTAGATTGGTTCCAAATTCTCAGACAATAAAAGCTTGGACAAGGCTTTTAGACAAATTTTTACAGCTTCTCAGACATTAAGAATCCATATTCACCTGTATTTTCTTATTGTAATGTTTTCTGAAGGCTTGCTCTAGCTTGTACTCTGTATTAGTCTTGTTTCTCTTCAATAGTGGAACTGATGAAAACAGTACAGTAACTCTCTTTTTTTGGTTTGACACTTCTGAAAATCATGTTAAACTATGCTTCATTTAGCCTATTTTTTAATCTTGAACTTCTTATCTTTTCTTCATGTTTCTGGAGTGTTTTCATTAACACGACAAAGGACTCCATGTAAAAAGTGGGACACTTGTGACAATCTTGAAGGACTTTGCAAATCAGAAACTGTTCTATGCCAAGGGTAGTCATTCAAAGCTTTTGAAGGACTTCAGGTGAGAATTGAATGGAATTGGCACATGCAAAGAAAGCCATTTGAAGTTCTTGCAACACTTCATACCATAAGAGCAATTCAAATAACCTGAAATTGCACTGAACTTCATTAATTTTTTTAATTAAAGCTTTTCTCAAGCTAAAGCTTTATAGCTGAATTTTGCTATTGTTGATTTTAAACTCCATAATCTGAGACATATGCCTTCAAGAAATTTCACACTAAGAATACTGTATCATATCTACAATGTATTTACAAGTACTGCACTGGACTTTTCAGGACACAATCTTCTTAATATCATATTTTCCACTAAAAAAATCCCCGAAGCTAAACAAAGACTTAGGCACATTTTTGTTTTACTTTTGGTCTGCTGCTTTGGAAAAAAGAAAAAGTATTTGTGACAGTCACCTTCTCTTCATGAGAAAGCAAAAAGCAAATGGCACACGTGAAACAAAACCATCTTTGCATACACAAAAACTTATCTGCAGTGGTGCATAGGTGAGCACAACCACCCCAGAAAAGATGAGGAATCTTGTATGAAAATGACAGCATTTGTGTCACTGCCTCACGTAGTAGAAAACTACAAGCAATCTTCTGAAGAGTGGAAAGACAAAAAGATACAGGGGATGAAGAATAAATATTTTAGGGCCAAAGGACTCATCACCATCAAATTTTCTTCATAGCCACCATAAACTACTACTCTCAAGCTTAAGTCCTGAATTTTTAAAGTAGGAACATTACAGTTTGGTTGATCCAGGGGTACTAACTGGCAGCAACTATCTTATAGAAAATTCCCTCTAATCTTTTACTGAGAACTTAAACCACCAGTCACCCTGGTACATCCAAATGAGTTTGAATTTTGAGTAGTATGAGCAAAAGAACTAATTTGGGCACAGCCTAAGCATCTTTTAGGCCTCAGTTGCTAGAAAACCCCAAAACATATTCACTTTTTTCTACCCAGAAATGTATTTATAGGATTTACTTGATGAGACATTAGCACAGTTTCAATAATAAATTTAAATGTGGTCTTTCACTATGACAGCTGTTACATGGTAAACAAATAAAATTAACAAGTTACCTCAAGGCATATACAGGGTTCTTGAGAAATGTAAATAAGAATTACAGAGATGTTGAACTAAAAATTGCCAATATTATTCTCCTTCGTGTAACTGGAATTTCCCCATAGAAGCTCTATTTAATTTTTATAGTTCATTTTAAGATATTGCACAACCAAAACGTTGCAACATTCTTCCTCTTTCTTTTTTATCACTCTAAGTTTCACTAAATCACATTCTTAACCCCATGATTCAGCTTCTAAGGCTAAAGCAATGACATACAATGTAAGAATACAAGCTATGGTATGCTATCGGCCTGAGTACTTGGAAGGAATCACCATATTACTCCCAAATGTACCTTCTATGAAGATCATATGCTTAGACCACACACCTTTAGAATTATTATTTTGTTCACCAACACTCAGTGTATCTCCTTAGTCCGAATGTTGTGTTAAAAGGATGTAAAATAAACTTGGTATCTGTTTCTTAAAAAACTTTACTAGCAAACACAGGAGCCCTGAAATGTGAGGGATTTGAGTTTCTTTTTAATCACTGACTCAGATGCATATGCCTTGTTTTTTTTTAGGGTACGTGGCCATTTGTTGTGATTGCATAGTTAAAGAATGATTTTTTTCACTGACACGTTCAGTTAGATTGATACAACTATGGTGGCTTTGATAAATTCATCCAAGTTACACAGCTGTGACTTGTAGGTTTGGTCTACCTCTTTAAAAAGAATGATACAATTGAGATACTTGAGCTGTCAGAAGCTTGACTGCAAACAAAATTATACAGAAAAAAACCCCATCCTGTTCTCTCATGTATTTTATTCAAGGACTTGGCTTCGATGTAAGAAATATCATTTATCAAATTTCTTACTACAGAACCACAAAATTCTTCTGAGCACAAACTGCGTACTGAGCATGGACAGAGTTATATCTAATAGGTTTTTTCTTGGTTAACAGCGGATCAATTTAATTGGTTATAAGCACTTTGTGTCAGTAAAGCTGTGTATGAATTCAAGAAAGAACATGAGTATAATCACAATTTTTAAGGCAATGGGGTATTTGTCTGTGTGCAAGAACAAGGTTTTCCAAGTGCTAAGTCGAGATTTAGGCAGATAATCTTAAAGAGATTTGCTAACATAAGCATGAAGTCCAACTTTCTGTGGCACAATTCTAATAAAGCTCAACTTTCTTGTGAGTTGTGGTGTCATTTGCGACACTTCACCAGCTTATGATGACACACTCTTAATTTTCAATCAGATTTATGTGTATGTACAAATCAGGGTAGCAGTCTTCTGAAATTACCCACGATCACAAAGCCCTTCAAGGAATTAGGTCTAGCTATATCTTAAAAGATATGTGTGAAGATCTTTTTTTAGGTCTTTTATTTATCAGAGACCAGTCTGGATTTCTGTCTTACTTTTAGTCTACTAAGAGCTAAACACTAGTAACTTCAAGAGAGGCAGGGAACTGCTTGAAAGAGTCCAGCACAGAGCCACAAAGATGATGAAGGGAGTGGAACATCTCCCTTAGGAGGAAAGGCTGAAGGAGCTGGGTCTCTTTAGCTTGGAGAGGAGGAGGCTGAGGGGTGACCTCATTAATGTTTATCAATATGTGAAGGGTGAGTGTCAAGAGGACGGAGCCAGGCTCTTTTCAGTGATGTCCAATGACAGGACAAGGGGCAGTAGATACAAGCTGGAGCATAGGAGGTTCCACAAAAATATGAGGAAAAACTTTTTCCCTGTGAGGGTGCCAGAGCACTGGCACAGGCTGCCCAGGGAGGTTGTGGGGTCTCCTTCTCTGGAGACATTCAAAACCTGGCTGGACGCGTTCCTGTGTGACCTACTGTAGGTGATCCTGCTCTGGCAGGGCGGCTGGACTAGATG